ACAAAAATGTTTGGTAGTTACTTGATTGTACAAATAGAATAGAAAGACGATGGAATCCAACAAACTAAAATTGTGATATTGTTGTCTTTTGTAATTTTGACGAGTAAGAGATAGAATTTAGTTTTTTCTTTTTTTTTTTTGGTTAGAAGATACGAAATGGTTAGTTAAAAGGACTATACAAATAGGAAGTCTTTAATTGTCCGATCTTTTGTATTGTAAAAAATGAGGAGAGGAGAGGATAGCTAATGGATAAATTTAGATTCATATAGCTTTAGGGAGATAATAAGATTATGAACAAAAATTAAAATGTCAAAGATTATTCATTGAAAGGTGAACAAAATTAAAATAAAATTATATTGAAAAAGGTACATATCTCATAACATGTTAAGAAAAGTAATCGTAACAACGAAAAATATTCATCTTGTAAATTTATAATTAAAGCAAAATAAACAATTATCAGAAATACTTAGCATACTCAATTACATAGTGGGCCTTAAAGGCATTACTAGATTGAAAGAGTGAAATCTTAAACATCTAGCAAAGTGGTTCCATTAGTGATATTAGTGTTTAATGATAATTAATATTTATTTCTCTTCCATAATTCCTTCTTCTCTTCTTTTCTTCTTACGTAATATTTTTTTTCTTTTCATTCGAGGTGTTTTACAAAATCAAACAAAATTTATATATTTTTCATGAAATAAATGTTATTATTCATAATTAAGTAAAAAATGTATAACCACAAATAAAATCTTCTTTAGTCAACAAAATCTCCATCCAACTACTTAAAGTTGACTACATATCTTCTTGTAATAAATTTACCCTTTGTCTATAGTAAATTCATCTTGTAAATTCTTCATTTTTGACTGCAAACAAAAAGTAAAAAAAGTGAATAAACAGTATAAGAACATAATTAACACATATATATACAGAGATTCTCACGTTTATGTGTGTGCTTATATATAAGTATTGAGAGAGAAAGGAAAAATTTCTTAATCCAGGGATTTTGCAGAGCTAGAGAGAGAAAGAAGAGAGAAGGAGAAGAGGAATGGCTTCATTCGATGCGTTCAGTATGGACGGTGAGTCGCCGGCACCGGCACCGGCGGCATCAACTCCGTTCGACGACGGAGACTACGGCAGCTACGAAGAATCCTCTTTCACGCCGCCGTACCACGCCTCTGGCGGATTCGGTGGAGAGTATGAGGAGGAAGTGACGGTGGAACACGTTTCTCATACCGTCGATAGTCCCGATCCCTATGGGTTCGGGTCGGATAACCAAACCGATCCATTCGGAGCTCCGATCCCGAATGGGAATGGTAAGCCCTACGATCTAGGTGATGATTCTGAGGGAATTTTCAGCTCCGATGGACCCGTCCTTCCTCCTCCTAATGAAATGCGCGAGGAAGGTTTTGCACTCCGCGAATGGCGTAGGTTTGTTCTACTTCATTCCTATTTTATTGCGAATTTATTCTAATTCACTATATTGCCAAAATTGGAAAAAAAATCGAAATTGAGCTGTTTTTTTAGATTTTAACTTATATTGACAGATCTATTGCTTATTGTTAATTACTGTAAATGCCAGTTCATTGATAAGATCAGTTTTATTTTATAGTTCGTAAGCTCTTTAGTGAGCTATATCGAACTGTGATTTTAGTTCCGCAATTTTTTATTTTATGGTTTGATTTGCAGATCTGGTGATGGTACTAATAGATCTGTTAGTTTTCGGTTTGTGCTTATTTTAAAGAGATTTAGTTGTGTAAGCGGGTCATCCTTATGATTTCTTAGCGGAGAAAAGAGACTGGAAATAGAAAAATTGGATTCTTTAGATCTTATCGATTCGAGTATTTTGTTGCTAGTCATATTTTGCCGGAGGTGATGCATAACGATCAAAATTTGTGAGAACTTTACTGGTGCTGATTTTCTACTGCAGTGAGTGGTGTCAAGATTGCTTCTTTGTGCCATGGGACAGAATAATTTTTAGTGGGTATATCCCCAATAAGTTAGTTATTCTTTTGCAGTAAAATTAAGTAAAGTTTGTGGCAATAACTAGTTAGTTATATTTAAAGCTAAAAAAAGATATTGTTAGAGCTAGATTAATTTCTGGAATTGGTTCATAGATCGTCGCGTATGGAGAAAGAACTTAGACAGATGATACAAGTTCTACATTAGTGATTGCATCTCATTGTTAATTGAGATCTAAAGTTGATTTGACTTTGTTCTACTAGTAGTAGTGTGCTAAAAGAGCATATTCTGGAAAGTCATCTCAGGAAAATATCAGGCCATGTTTCGCTGGCTAATTCTTTATGGAGAGTGATTGGTTCTGTACAACTCCTTTTCCATTTGGTACATTTTGTTTGAATTGGGGGTTGGGGCTTTTTCCAAAAAGGTTAAAAAAGAAATGGG